GTAATCTCACTCTCTCTCCCCCCTGGCCTGCCTCACCCGTAGATCAACTGCCATGACCCCCCCCCTCCCCCCGACCCCCCCAAGCTCCATCCTTCAAAAATTGTCCCCATCACCCCCACCCCCACCCCCCACCACCCCAACGCCCCCCCCCCCCCCTCCGCATAGGCCAACGAGCAAAAATTTCTCCGCACGACCGTCAAAGCCAATCACCACCGCTAATTTACTGGCGGGAAAAGCCCCCGTTGCAACGACGACCAACACAATCACAATCAATGACTACCGTTGCAATTTGGCGGTTCGACATTCGTCTCCCTTTTTCAGAGCGCTGAAAAAGCGGAATTTTTTTTGGTTCGGTTTGTGGCAGAAATCGTAACGCGCGTCATTCTCATTAACGTTCTTTGTTCATCAACTTACGATTGTTGTGCTTGTTGGCTCACGCGCGTGCAAAGGTCATTCGTTCTTCCACGTCTGCCCTCCCTCCCTCCGCTTCCCCCGCTCCCCCCCCCTCCCGCATACTCCCCCCCACACACACACCTTCTGTGTAACTGAGGTTTGAGTATGCCTGGTACGATGACTGGTATGGTGGTTGCTGTCGTGGCACTCGCCTCGCTTCTCCTCGCACCGCACCTTGCCCTCGGTGGCTCGGTCCCGCCGTGGGCAACGTACACCTTTGATGGCAAAACCAACCGAGGTGACGGAGTCGGTGCGGCTGGGACCAACCTCGCGCGGTACCTTGGTTACCATTATCCGGACGGCTCGTCTTCTATGGAGTTTGCGTCGCGGCCAAAGTGCTGTGACCTCGAGGCGTTTTTCCGTGTCGAAGTCGACCAGCCGTCGCTGGAAGGCCTCAATGTGGCCACCATGTCCTTTGGCCAATTCTCGCTCTCGCACGATGTGGCCCTCACGCCCGACTCGACCGACCTTCATCCCAACCCCGAGTCATGCACCTCGCTCCATCGCATGAAGTATGTGCCGGGCTCGTCGCCGCGGGAGCATGTCAACGTCGTCACCTCGTTCATCGACTTGTCCCAGGTCTACGGCTCAGACGATGCCAAGGCCCTGGCGCTCCGCACTCTCTCGGGCGGCAAGCTCAAGACCGGGCCGGGCAACCTCCCGCCGCGCGGGTGCAAGACCCTTGGCGTCAACATGGGCAACCCCATCCATGGCGTGTCCAACGAGCAGCTCTTTTGCGTCGGCGACACCCGCGGGAACGAGAACATCATGCTCCTCGCCTTCCACGCCATCTTTGTCCGCGAGCACAACCGCCTCGCGGATGAGCTTGCTGCCGCACACCCGCGGTGGTCCGACGACGAGCTCTTTTCAAGGCCCGCGCCATCAACATTGCCCAGTACCAGCAGATCACCTTCTACGAGTACTCGCGCGCCATCCTCGGCGACGCCGTCTTTGACCGCCTCATCGGCCCGTACTCTGGCTACGACCCGGCCATCCGCCCCGAGGTCTCGGCCGAGTTCTCGCAGGGCTCGTTCCGCTTTACCCACGGCCAGATCCCCGAAGTTGTCGTCGACATGACCACCCCGTCGAGCCCGTACCTCCGCTCGCTCTCCGAGTTCTTCTTCAACCCCAAGGAGCTCGCCGGCCGCGGCGTCGACGCCTTTATGCACGGCATGTTGCTCTACCCGTCGCAGGAGGTCGACGCCCAGTACGCCAAGACCCTCATTGACTTTCCGCACCTCCTCGCTCTCGACTGCATGCGCGTCCGCGACCTCGGCCTCGCCTCGTTTGAGCACGCCCGCGCCCACTACGGCATCGCCTCGCCGGTCACTGACGTCCCGCGCAAGCTCGCGCTCCTCGACGTCTACGCCTCGTCGTCCGAGGGCACCGACCTCTTCACCGGCGGTCTCGCCGAGGAGCACGAGGTCGGCTCGTCGTTTGGCCCGGTCTTCAATGCCATCTATGCCCAGCAGTTGCTTGCCCTCCGTGACGGCGACCCGTACTGGTTCGAGAACCCGTCGTACGCCCTCCTCTCTGCCGCCGAGCGCACCGCCGCCCGCGCCACAACCCTCGCCCACATCATCCGCCGCAACACCGACATCCCGGCAGACCTCGTCCCCGACAATGCCTTCAAGATGCCGTTCTACTCGGCAAACACTGCGTCGTCGGGTGGCGTCGCTACGTCCACCTCGTCGGCTTCGGGCTCGACGTCGTCACCCGCCTCCCAGTCGACCGCAGACGGCCACGTCTACCCCACCGCGCCTGCCGCCTCCAACAACGCCGAGCTCAGGTACCTCCGCGCCCTCACAGGCATCACCGTCGTCGGCTTCCTCGTCGTCCTCGCCTCGGCCGCTGTCCTCGCCGCCACCGCCTACCGCCTCGTCAACCGGCCCACCGCCGCCCCGGTCGCCTCGACCAAGCGCTCCTCCGGCCTCGCCCGCTCGGTCAAGCCGCCGCGCAAGGATGCGAACCGCTTTGACGGCGGCGCCTCACTCATCCACCTCGGCTATACCGTCTCGCCCGAGCACTCGGCCTCTTACGAGGGTGACGTCTGGATGTCGCACGTCTCGTCCGACGACCTCTCGTCCTCGCCGCGCGCTCCTGCTGCCGCTGCCGCCGCTGCCAAGCCGCGCGCGTGAGCAAGCAAGTGAGAGTGTGTGCAACGCGTTTCGTAGTTTTTTTACCTTAGCCAGCCAAGGGGGTGGTGAGCTTACTCGTCGCCGATGACCTTGCGAACAAAGTCAAAGAAGGAGAACTCGTTGGTGGCAATGCCGCTGGTGTAGACATAGTACGAGGCGAGCGAGGAGGAGAACATGGCCTTGGCGTAGGCCTCGGGCAGGCGGTCGACGAGGGCCTGGACCGAGCCGACGTGCTCGATGAGGATGGGCGGGACGCAGCGGGCAAGCATCGGGTCGCGGATGGCGTGGTTCTCAAAGAGATCCGAATCCTCGATGGCGTCGACGAGGACGTTGATCTTGGACGAGAGGACGTCGGTGAGCTCGGTGCGGCGGCCGCGGCCGGCGGCATGCTCCTTGACGAGCGCGCGGTACTCGAGCCGGGCGTTCTCCTCCACGAGGTCCTGGATCTGCGTGGCGTACGTGTCGTAGAACTCGGGCACGTTGTCCGGGTCCTTCACGCACATGAGCTTGTCAAACTCCTCGTCGTCGAGCGTGAGCGCGGCGAGGACTTCCTTGGACGACGACGTCACGCCGCCCTTGTTCGTCGACGCGTCCTTGAAGACCACCACGCCGCCGTCCTCGAGGATGGTGCGCGCCTCGGGCGTCACAAACAGGTTCGCGCCCTCCACGAGGTACTTGAACCGCGGCGTGCCGTCCTCCTTGAACACCGACGCCACGTTGCTGGCGTTGATCGACTCGGGCCGCCCACCGCACGGCACAAACAGGTCGGCCTCAAAGAGCGGGTGCAGGTGGAAGCCGTTGCGGAACGCGTCGCCGGCACGCACCTTCTCGCCGTTGGGCAGCGTCACGTCGGTGTCGTCGACGTTGACAAAGAAGCCGCCCTCCGAGAGCTTGGACTGGTCAAAGGCCTCGCCCATGAGCCGGCCCCTGGCCAGGCGCTCAAGCTCCGTGCGGTCGAGCCCGTTGGGGTCGTACAGCACACCCGAGCCGTCCACAATCGCCTTGGTGATGTCCTTGGAGATGAGGATTTCGTTCGAGCCGAGGTCGCCGTCCGGCCCGCCGGTCTGCACCTTGGTCACCGTCGACTCGTCGATGCCGGCGTCCGCCAGGGCCTCGGTCACAAACTTGTGCACCGACCGCGTCGTCATGCCGTACGTGTCGTGCGGGATGCCGCCAATCGACGGCGGCTTGCCCGTCGTGAACGCCTTCCAGTACGGGTACCCACGGTGCTTGGCGTAGAGGCATGCCCACTCCATGAGGTCGGCCGTGTGCTCGTCCGGGCCGAGGAAGAGCACCTCGGGCTGCCCATGGTAGTCGAGAATCGACTCGTCGTCGATGATGACGTCGAGGACAGACGAGATGTACTTGCGGAACTTGAGCTCCGGCTGCGCCTGCCGGTCCTGCCCGAGCAGGATCGTGCCCTTGGAGCCAAACTCAGGAATGTCCTTGTTCTTGAGGTTCTGCGTGTGCGCCAGGTTGTAGTTCTCCACAAACAGCGCCTCGTAGTTCTTGGCGTACGCCGCCTCGTCGCGCGACTTGATCAGCCGCACGCCGCCACGCGCCACGTCGCGGAACCGCACGTGGAAGCCGTGGAAGTCGTTCGCCATCGACATGATGATCCCGTACGGAATGTCCGGGAACATGTGCGAGTAGTCCGAGAGGAACTGCGGGTTGAGCCGGAACGACACCGCCGCACGCCGGGTCTTGTAAAAGTTGGTCTTCACCACACTCGAGTTGAACTCGAGCGTCTCCGAGAGAATGTGCTGCTCGTCGCCCACAGACGCCTCGGACGCAATCCGCTCCTCGAGCGCCGCAATCTCCTCCGCAGACGGCGTTGCCGCCACAGCAGGGTTGAACCGTGCGTCAAACGCGCCAAAGATCGACTTGAACAGCTGGAAGTTGCGCACAATGGTCTTGACCACCGCAGGCTCTGAGAACTGCGACGCACGCAGGTGCTTGCCCACGCCCAGCAGCCGCCGCCGCTTGACAGGATCCGTCTCCACGTCGAGCAGCGCCTGGTAGTCAACCACCGTCGCCGGCGAAAAGTAGCTCACGTACTTGGTCACCGCAGAGATGTACGCGTACTCGCGCGCAGAGATCTGGCCCTGCAGGAAGTACGGCGAGAGGTGCGGCGAGACAGGCATCGTCAGCTGGAGCGAGATGAGGTCCGCGAGCTCCTTCACCGCAGCGTCCGACGCCTCGCCGCCAATGTACAGCGTGTACACCGCAATGCCGTTGGCAAACGACTCAACAAGCTTCCGCTCGCACACCAGGTTCGACGCAAAGATGAGCTTCGAAATGTCGGCCAGCGACGTGTTGTGCGACAAAGGCCGCGCCGCCACAAGCAGCGGGATCGACCCGTCGTGCCCGCGCCGCGGGTGCACCTCGATCACAGGCGACATCCGCTTCACCGCAGCGTCGATGATCGACTGGTACCGCGGGAGCAGCTTGGGTGCCGTCTCGCGCAGAAAGTGCTTCGACGCAATCTTGGTCAGCTCAGTGTCCTCCATCGCGCACGGCTTGTGGTCCTCCATGTCCACCACATACAGCCCGAGCCGCGCCGAGCCATACGGCACCGCTGTGCCCTTGGACGTAAAGTGCGAGACCGAGTACACCGGGTTGCTCCGCGTCTCAGACAGCTGCTTGATGTACGTCTCCAGCCGCTGCTCCGTCTCTTCGCGTGCGTCCTGCCGCGCCGCAGAGAGGTAGAACGCCGACGACTCGTTCTCCATGTTGAGCTTGATCGCCTCGGCAGAGCCCGACTGCGCCGCAAGCCGCTTGGCAGCCACGTAGCCCTGCACGTGGCCCACAACCTCCTCGGGCGTGAACCGGTTAAAGTACATCCGGTGCAGCTCGAGCTTGTCGTAGTAGTGCGAGAGCTCGGAGCGGATGAGCGACGCGCGGAACACACCCTGCTCGTACAGCATCTGCGCCACCGCGTTCATGTGCTCCTCCTGCGCCGGGTTCGACCCGCTCAGCTTCTCCAGCGGCGCCCGCGGCGCAGCCGTATGTCCAGAGTCGCGTGCCTTGGTCAGCATCTCAAGCACCTGGTTGTTGTCGCTCCGCGACGCGTCCGTCACCGGCGTGCCGTCGAACCGGTCCTTGGCCTCAAGGTCCGCCCCAGCGTCAAGCAGAAGCTCCACCATGCCGGCATGCCCGTTTGCCGCAGCGAGGTGCAGCGGCGTCCGCGCATCGTAGTCGCAAACGTTGACGGAAACGCCCGAGTCAAGGAAGGCCTTGACCGTCACGAGATCGTTCTCCGCAGCCGCAGCGCACATGTCAGACGCCGCAACAATCTGGTCGAGCACAGCACCATGGCCGAGCAGGTACTTGGTCGTCTCCGGGTGCTGGCCCTTGATCGAGTCGAGCACAGGCGACGAGCCGAACCGGTCCGTCACGTTCACCGCAGCCCCGTTCTTCACGAGGAACTTGACCGCCTCCAGCCGGCCCTCGGACGCCGCAAGGTGCAGCGCAGACCGCGCGTCGTAGTCGGCTGCGTTGATGTCCACGCCGTGTGAGACAAGCGCCCGCAGCGCGTTGATGTCGCCGCGCGACGAGTGCCAGCACAGCTGCATGGCGTCATACAGCCGCCGCTCGGTCTTGTTGAGCTTCGACTTGTCCACAGACGGGCCGATCTCATCCACGGCATTGGCCGCAGCCTGCCGGAGCACCGGCGACGACGACGCAAACCGCGCACCAGCAAGGGTAAACACCTTGGCAGACGACATAGTCAGCGGCCGCGCAGCAGCCACATACGCTGACGACGCAACAGCAGAAGAGGCCCGCGCGAGGCTTCCAGCCCGAAGCGCAGTCGAGATTGCCGCACGCCACATCTACACACACACACACACACACACGCACACGCACACACACGCACACACACGCACACGCACACACACGCACGTGCACGCGTCCATGAGGAAACCATATCGGTGGCAAAAACCATGCGTGAGTGTGATCGATCACCCAAGATCGGTGCCGCACACCGCGACACGAGGCGGACGGGTCAGGGAGGGGAGGGAGGGGGAGGGGGGGGATCCAGTAGGAGACTTGAAAAAGGTCGCAAGTAGGGGGGGGGGGATAGGTTGGTGCTGGTCGGGGTGGGGCCGTGTAACATAGGATGGGGAAGGCTACACGCCGTGGTGGGTGTGTGCGGGCCAAGGGGATCGACGGGCGAGTGGGCGGCGAAAAAGGCCGTCAACGGAGGTGGGGGGGGGGAAATGGGGAAGAAATTTGGTTGGCGTGGAGTGGTGGCGCGGCGGGTACATGGAGGGCCATAACGAGCTCACATGCCTCACACACTCACCACCAGAGTGATGATGTGGTGGGGCATGTGATGGGGCACCTTACAACAAGATGGGATTGTCTTGGAACCCATTACAGGATGTGTAACTGCTGCTGCCGTCGAGCGCGTCGTCGGCCAACCCGTGTGACTGATCTGGCCACCACAAAGGTCCCGTGACAAAGTTTGTCGCACACGGGGACGGGGGGGAGGGGCCAGGGCTAGGAGGGATGGAGAATGCTGTGTAGAGCAAAGGAGGGGGGGCGGGGATAGATGCTAAATGGAGAGCGTGTGATGGGAGGGCAGAGTGGCCTCATGAGCGTACTTGGGCTGAGTAAGTCCAGAAGAGCAGTGGCTTCAGCTCGGTCGCGTGGGGAACGTTGGCTGCAAGCCGAGGATGGCGGCTGGCCGGTTGGCTTTGGCTCGACGGCTGGGCAAACGGTTGAATGCGCCATTTGCCGATGTGGAAGGGAGGAGGTGGAGATGAAGCGCTCGAGTGTGAGCGGGTGAATGCGGTGAATCAGGGATGCGGGGAGGGAGGGGAATGATCGACAGTGGGCGCATGTTGGTGTGTGAGCTTGGGGCCGTGTGAGCTGTGCTTGATCGGACTTGGTACTCATGTGGCCGCCTCATATGGAGGGGGGGAGGCGGCTCTGGAGGTGTGATGGAGTGTTGTTCGGGAGGAGGAGGGAAAGGAGAAGAGAGATAGGGTGGAGCATGATGTAGATGTGCGGATGAGTGCGTATGGCGTGTGTGTATGTGTACAAGTCTGTGTGTGTGTGTGTGTGTGGCGTGTGTGGCCAGAATCGAGCCGAGCAAGTGATATTTTGTTGATCTTTCATCTCAGTAAACGACCGGTGAGATGCGAACGGCGATGGCGATCGATGAAGCAAGGGAAGTCGAGTCTTGGGCCAAGGACAAAGGATTGAGTCTGCGTAGCAGGCTGGTACGGTAGGTTGGTGCGGCTGGTGCCGAGACATCTGCTTTCCTGCTCGGCAAAGGCCGCCGCGACTCTTCCCTTGAAACAGCCCACCGCACCCCCCTGACGACTACACATACGTAGTCGATAGGGGGATGTGGTGGGCTGTTTCACCCCTCCCTTCTTCCAACTCACCATCGCAGTATGTATGCCCCTCTCCGCACCCCTTACCACCGAAGCTTCTCATGTGACTCTGCCAAAGTTTGTGACATTGGACAAGCGCTTGTTTCCGCAATCTCTCCAGTGGGCACACAACAGCCGGGACTGCCAACGCAGCCTCCAGCCCGTACCCAAGCCCCACAACTCACACCACCAACACCGTCCACCCCCTACTTTCTCACCCTCTCTATACTTGCTTGCAACACCCTGTAGCTTCTCTAAATTCGAAGACCTCCTCGTTGTGTGCCGAGCTGAGCCTCGTTGGTTAGGGATCGCACTCTCTGAGCTCGCCGGGTCGCCAAGTCGCAAGACTTGTCTCTGGGGATAACCATGCTTATTCGCACCATTGCGTTTACGCTCCTACTTGCGGTGGTGGTCTCAGCAAACCTTGTACGCCGTCCGTGCCCATGCTAGTATTCATATGTGATGTATTTCCCCCTCCCTGCCGTCCAGTGTCTGGTGCGGTACAAAAAATTCCAATAACCGCTCCGACACTTTCAATGCCCTACCGCGATATCCTACGCAGCCGCCAGGGGTGCGGAGAGCCACGTCCCCGCGCTCCCCCCCCCCCCGACAGCCTTTGTGCACACCTCCACAAGTACCACACTTTCCACACTGCCACTCATAGCGCTGCGTTCTGTTCTACAGTACATCCACAACCCTCGTGGCTCAAACAACAGGCTGGATGAAGCTAACCGCAACCGCAACGACGCCAATCGGCTCTTTGACTCTCAAAACAACAACAAGGGCGGATACAACGTCAACCGCATCGAGTACTACGGCGGCTCGCTGCTCGACATCGACCTTACATTCCAGCACGGCTGCGGATTCGGCACCGAGTGTCAAATCATTATGCAGTACATGTGCGACAGCATGGCCGGGACCGGCCTCGGCATCCGAAACGGCCAGCAACAGACCCGTATTCCGGAGCAGCGTGATGACGACCATCGGTACGGGCGCCACGAGTCGGCATCGTACTGGGCGGACTGCAAGGCCCGTCAGCGCAACCTTGGCCTCTTCCTCGCCGACCAGATCATCCCCGAGGATGCGACTGCGATGCGGACTCGCCAGAACAACGACGAGAACGCCAACAACCGCCGCCGCGGCTATGAGTGCCCCGAGGAGCGCGACTACTACCCGTACTGGCACCCCTCGCCGTGGAAGGACATTGCAATTTACACCTCGCGTGCGGATGAGCTCTGCCCGATCTACACCGCCGAGTCGCAGAATGTCAAGGGCAAGCACTACTGCGCCGGCCTCCGCGAGGCGACACCTGAGAATCCGATAACCAACGGGGCGGCGATCAACAACCAGGCCCAGTGCGAGGCCGTGGCCGAGTTTGAATGGGTCGAAGCGCCGGCGTGGGGCCTTCCTCCGCCCGCCTGCCTCCAGATGAGCGCCTATCCACCGAACCGCGTCACCCGCCTCCGCCACTCGTGGAAGCTCCCCATCGTGACCGAGCGCCAGAGCTGCGTCTTCCGCGCGCGGTACAACGTGTCATCGGCCGACTATGACGGATGGAGCACCTTTGCCGATCTCAACGGGAACACGGGCAACTACGCGTGGCAGACAAACCCGACTGTCGACGTCGGCTCGGCGAGCACTAACATTCGCCTCAAGCTCACCATCTCGACCGATCAGATGGGCCGGACGTTCCAGGACCGTAGCTCTACGTTTATGCTCCGGCCGGCGCCGTACGACGTCGACGTCACGCCGATCGTCAACCTCAATGTGGCAGGCTCCCGTGGCAACCCCGTCCAGAACTTCCCGAGCATCGAGTACGAGTTTACGCCCAAGGTCCTCACCGTCGACGTCAACACCTTCATCCATCGGCAGGTGACTGGCTCGAACACGACGCCGGACGGCGCCGGCCACGGTGCTGACGAAACCGATCGCTCCAACTTTGTGGCTGTCGTTGGCAACAACCCGAAGAGGTCGTATGTCCACGTCGGCAACTCGAGCGACCCAGATGTTAGCAACGATCTGGTGGCGTGGTGGGGAACGCTTGGCGGAATCTCTAGCCAGATGGATGACGTGCCGCCGTACGTCGACCTCGGTCTGCATCGCTACCGCACGGCCGGCACCAGGCACTACCTCTGCACCCGCAACACCGACTTTTCCTCCCGCACCCATCGCGGCTCGATTGTTGTCAATGACGCACCTGGAGGCGTTCAGCCGCCGATCCCGTCGTCGACGACAGGAACCGTCTCAACCGGCAGCGGCGTCGGGCCCGGGAGCGGTGGCTCGCCGGCGCCGGCACCAACGCCGGCCCAGATTGTGGCGGCCGGCGACGGCGACAAGGAGCGGTCCAAGGGCATCGGCATTGGTATCGGTATTGGCCTCCTCGTCTCTGCCGTGCTTGCCGGCGTCGCCGCCGCCGCTTTTGTCGTCTGGAAGCGCCGCGAGAGCAAGCTGAGTGACGATGACTTTGCCGCACCGGCTGCTGCCAGCGACGCCGAGCTTGCCGCCATTTAGGCCCGCCACCAATTTGCTTGATATTTGCTTGATAAACACACGATCTCTCTCTATCTCTCTCTGTATCTCTATTTCCCTCTCCACAACACTAAAGAGCAGCATACCAACGAGTCATGACGAGTCTGACTCTTGCCAGTGAGCATGAGCCCGACGCAGAGCCTCGCGGCGACCGTCGCCAAGCTCGCGATAGTAGGCACGGGTGGCGCGGCGCTTGTCGAGGCACACCAGCTCGATGGCAGTGTCAAAGTCGTGAAGCGCAGCGGTGTTTTGGTTGAGGGCGAGCTCGGTAAAGGCCCTGTTTTTGTAGATGATAAAGTCGGCCGGATTGATCTGGATGGCGTCGGTAAAGGCGTCGTACGCGTCGCCGTACGCGCCGCGCTCCATCCGCACCACGCCGAGCTCGTTCAGCAGGACAGCATTTGGCTCGGGCTCGGCCTTGATGGCACGAACGAGGTGCTTCTCGGCCGCGTGCATGTCGCCGGCAATCCGCGCCTTGTTCAGCCGCTGGATGTGCTTGACCGATTCGCGCGACTTGACCACCACCTTGCCGCTCTCCTCCAGCTCCTTCTCCCTTCTAGTCGGCCGCCTTAGCCTGCGAGCATGATGCGGTGATACCCCGCGGCTCGATTCCGAGCTTGAGTTGGTCCGGCTCTTTCTCCGCGGCAGGCGGTACGAGCTCGAGTCTGACGATAGCGATGACGAGCGTGGCGACGACGATCGTGAGCTCAAAGAAGACGATCTTGATGACTTGCGCGACTTCTTACGTGACCTGCCCACCACTTTGCGTGACCTGTGTGTCTTGCCTGCAGCCTTGCGCGACTTGCCCGCCGCATTACCCGACTTGCGCGACTTGCCCGCCGACTTGCCTGCAGCCTTGCGCGACTTGCCTGCAGCCTTGCCCGACTTGCCCGCCTTGCCCGACTTGACCGCCTTGCCCGCCTTGCCCGCCGCCTTGCGCGACTTGTTCGTCTTCCGCCCAAACACCATGCCGTCGACCCTCTTTGCCCCAACACACAGCCACACAATCTCTTCCGAGACGTGTGTCTCTTCTGCATCAGTCTGTCTCGGCCTGCCAGGCTCTCTCGGCCTGCCACCGGCCAACCGCTCACCCTGGACCGGTCCTATCTCAATCCCGGTGAACCGTACTATCAGCGGGGAAAATTGTAAACCGCTAACCATCAAAGGCGGCGCAAGGGAAGGGAGAGGAGGAGGTGGGGGGGGGGGGGGGAGGAGGAATTTGCTCGGGTCTACCACTTGTCGCACACATGGCCGAGTTGGAGCCTCACCATGTGCACCTCGCACGGTTTGTGGGTGCACGAGTTGGGTTCATCATGAACTCCAAGCGCATCTATGTGGTGACGGATAATGCGTATGTGAGGGGTGGAGGAGGGGGGTAGGGGGGTAGAGGGGAGTGTGCTTGTGAGGGTGGGGTGGAGCACGAGGTGGGACGCCATGGCTTGCCCCCCATGCCTCGCCCTCCTCCTCCTCTCCTCGCACGTGCGACTCACTGTGGAGAGTCATCATGCGGAACGGGCTGGTCGATCAACGGTGATTGGCTTTACGGGGAATGGCCGCTGTCACATCGTCACTGTCGTGTCTGTTGTCTTGTCTGCTGTTGCTGTTGTGTCTGTTGTTGCTGTTGTGTCTGTTGTTGCTGTTGTGTCTGTTGTCGCCATCGTGTCTGTTGTCGCCATCGTGTCTGTTGTCGCCATCGTGTCCGACACCGCTGTCTCCCCTGTCGTCGCCATCTCGTGTGTGGTCGCCATCGTGGGTGTGGTCCCCATCGTGGGTGTGGTCACCACCTCGTATATGGTCGCCATCTTGTGTGTGGTCCCCATCTCGCGTGTGGTCCCCATCGTGGGTGTGGTCACCACCTCGTGTGTGTGATCGCCATCGTGCCTGTCATCGTATTTACCGCCTCTGTCGTATCCGTGTGGTCACCACCTCGTATATGGTCGCCATCTCGTGTGTGGTCCCCATCTCGCGTGTGGTCCCCATCGTGGGTGTGGTCACCACCTCGTGTGTGTGATCGCCATCGTGCCTGTCATCGTATTTACCGCCTCTGTCGTATCCCTCATCATATCTATCCGCCGTGTCTATCCTGATCATGGTCGTGATCACTGACTGGTTTCAGCTTTCTCGGTCTCGACGCCACAACTCGCACGTCCAAAGAGGTCTTCCCCTACGACGCCATCGCGTCGGTCAAGCCAGCCGAGAACGACATTCGCATGGTCAATTTCTCAGTCCGTTCGGGAAAGAAAGGCAAGGCAAAGTCAGAGTCATTGGTTGTTGAGCCTGCCTGTCGCGCCCCGCTCCTCTCGGCGCTCCATCTTGCTATGACCGCTGCTCTCAACGCTGCGCCCATTGCCGCCTTTGCCGCCTATCGCCCGGCCGATCCCCCGATCGCCTCACGTGTCGAGATCTACCCGGCCACGCTGTCCGTCGACGAGGCCTCGTTCCTCCTCCATGACCTGACCCACGTTATGGTCGTCGATCCCGCGCCCGCCGATGCACAGCAGGTCATCCTAGCCTGGCGCGACGGTTCGCACTCCCGCCTCTTCTTCAACTCGGTCGACTCGCCCGTCCGCGACGCCTTTGTCTCCTCGCTCATCTCCACCATTGCCTCGCTTCTCGGACGAGCCCTCCCCGCTCCTTCTGTTCTCGACGTCGCCGCCGCCGACGAGCTCGTCTCCGAGCGCGCCCTCCGTGGCCTTGTCGCCCCAGCCATCTTCTCGGCCTCGGCCCGCCTCCTCCCGCCGCCGCCGCCGCTCGACCCTGCTCCCGGTGATCACATCCTTGCCGTCCTCGACACCGACACTACCACGTCCTGCACCCTCCGCTTTTCGTCGGACACGCTGTACATCCTCGACGCCGACGGCATCGCCACCCTGCTCGGCTACCCGCTGGCCGAGCTGGAGATCATTATCCTCCATCTCGTTGGCAACGCTGAACTCCTTGCCCTCACTTTTGCCGGCCTCGATCCGCTCTACATCCACACCGCATCCGCACGCTCTGTCGCCGGCAACGCCGTCCCGCTCGCTCTTGCCGCAGGCGCCCGCCTCGCTCTCCATCTCGAGGTCTTCCCGCCCGCGCTTGTCCTTGATCCGGGCACTCCCGACCACACCGCCGAGCTCGAGCCGCTCGTCCTCGCCCAGCTCTCGCTTGCACTCGAGAGCCGCAACACATCGGCCGTCGCCCTCGCCGCCCGCGAGTACCTCGCCAACGTCCGCGCCGCCCGCGCCGTTGCCAAGGAAGCCAAGCGCATCCTCCCGCGCATTGCTTCTCTCCTTCTTGACGCCCTCCGGGTCTCCGCCACCAACGCCTCCCGCTCTCCCGCACAGGCTGCCGAACCCGATCTCTTTGATCCGGCCACACGCCTTGCCCTTGCCCAGGTGGTGGTCCATGGCCTCGCCGCCCCGGCCGTCTTTACAGACGCTACTGATGCCTCGTACCCGTACGTCGCCCTCGCCTGGGACGCCCTCGTCTCTGCCGATCTCTACATGGTCTTTGCCGGTGCCTCGCTCCTCTACGCCCTCACCCACCAGGCTTTCCCACACAAATCGCCCAAGTACGAGCGCGCCAACCGCGCAGCCGTCTTTGCGCACCCGGCGCGGCTACCACCTTTGTCTCGGTCCTCGCCAACCTCGTCTCGCCCGACATGCCACCGGCTCCACTCGTAGACGCCATCCTCGCTCTCCTCGCCTCGATCCTCGCCTCGCTCCTCGCCTCGCCGCGCGCTGTTGCCACCCCGGATCCTGTCGCCTCTGCCCTCGTTGCCGCTCTCTACCAGCGCACCGGTGCCCTCCTCCAGCTCGCCCGGGTCGATGCTGTCGGCGTTCAGCGCCACGCTGTCAACATCCTCCGCGCCGTCCTCGAGTCGCTCCCGCCCGAGACCTTCCGCGCCGTCCAAGACAAGGCCCGCAACGCTGCCCAGCTGCTGTTCTTTGTTTCCCTGGCCGCCGGCAGTCCGGATCCTCCGCTTCGTATCGGCGCCATCCTCCTCGTCACCCTCCTCGTCGAGGGCAACCCGTCGTCGGTCGAGCTCATGGAGCGCGTCTTCCCCAAGCCGCTCGTCCTCCGCATGCTGCAGCTCTCCGAGAACCCGACAGCCCTCACCCGGCCGCTCGCTCACACGCGCTGTGTTCCGCTCTGGCGCAAGCCGGCGGCATATCCGCCCGATCCCTCGCCCATGCCCGTCCCGCCGGCCTGCCAGACCCGTCTCTGGTCGCTGCTCTTCGACATGCTCTCGGTCGACTTTTTCGAGCCGACCTTTATCTGGGACGCACGCACCCGTGCCGAGCTCAACGACAAGCTCATCTCCGAGCTCGACACCTTTACCCGCTGGCGCGCCTGGCGCGCTTCGGCCCTCGAGCTCAGTCAAGCTCATGACGCCTCGGCTGCTACCGCGCCGCTCCACGACGACAGCCCGGTTGCTGGAACTTCCCATCCGCGCCCGGCCGGCCACGCCCGCGCCATCCCGCCGCTTCGCTGGAACCACGAAGAGTTTGAGGTTGTCTACGACTCGCTCGCCGGCGAGCTCCGCGTCGGCCAGTTCTACCTTGACGCCATCCTTGCCCGCGTCCCCGAGGTCAAGCTCGCCCAGCCGGGCGTCTTTGTCGAGGAGATGGCCCACCATCTCACCTTTTGCACCGACGTCGCCATCCGCTGCCGCATCTTGCAGGCTCTCAAGTGGGCCTACGGTGAGTACATGCCGGTCCTCGGCGCCTACCGCTACATGGAGCCGGTCGTCATGCACCTCCGCGCCCTCGACCAGCCGCTCGTCCGCGAGTGCCTCCTCTCGTTCCTCGCGCAGGCCTTTGTCCTCCGCGACAACATCAAGAGCTTTGTCGCCGCCGGGGGCCTCGACCCGCTCATGGCCCATCTTGCCACTGTCCACTCGGGCGATCCAGCTGCGCTCACCGTCGGCATCTCGATCCTTGAGCTTCTCATTCTGGCCGCCTCGCTGGTCCCGTCGCTCGATGCCCACGGCCGCCTCCTTGTCCCGCCGCCTCGGGTCCGCACCGCCCTCGCTGCCCCCAACTACCTCGCGGCTATTGCCCAGTGTCTCCTCGTTGGCGACTCGGAGCTCAGCTCGCGCGCCATCCTCCTCATCGACCTCCTTGTCCGCGACTCTGAGTCGCTCCTCTACGACGTCGGCTCCATCGGCATCGAGCCCATGCTCCTCCTCCATCCGCTTCACATGGGCCAGCCCGGCGCCAACCTCCTCGCCCGCCTTGTTGCCGCCGGCGTCGACGCCACCGTCCGCCGCCTTCTACCGGATGGTATGGTCGCCCTCCTCTGCGCCGCGCCGTCGACGCCCATGGCCATCCGCTCCGGTGACACCCCGTTTTATGATGCCCTCGTCGGCGACGTCGACGCCCCGCGCGTCATGTGGGGGCCCGCCGAGCGGGAACTGCTCACCGCAGCCTGCGCCGAGCACCTCGCCCCGCTCGTCACCGCCCTCGGCCAGGACCCGCTCGCCAAGTACCTCGACGTCGTCCCGTCCACCGTCCCGGACCAGGTCACCTACCCGCGCCTCGATGCCGAGCTCGTCGTCCGTGGCGTCTTTGTCCGCAACATGGCCGACGCCGCCCGCTTCCCGGTCACCGAGGTCGACAACGAGAACGCCTTTGTTTCCGAGGCCCTCGCGTGTCTCCGGACCTCCTCCGAGCACCAGTCTCAGACCGCGCTCGTCCGCTGCATCGTCGGCGTTGTCGCCGCGCATCCGCACCTTGCCGTCCTCAGCGCCTTCCCCGCCTTTGACATTGTTGTCTCCCTCCTGCATGACGCCGCCGCCGCCGCCACCGTCTCCGACCTCCTTGATGGCGTCCTCGACCTCATCCACCGCGTTCTCGCCGCTGACTCGGAGTCCAACGCCAAGGGCTTTGTCCAGGCCCAGGGCCTGCCTGCGCTCGAGGCCGTCCTTGTCATGCTTGGCGAGCTGCCGGTCGACACCCAGGTCGCCACCTCGCTCCAGCTCGCCCTCCGCCTCGTCGCAGTTCTCGGCTCGCGCAGCGCGACAAGGACGCGCCTCTTGCTGGTACCGGGCACCGTCGCCGCCTGTGTCCGCGCTGTCGAGCGGTGGGAGGCCATGCCGCACGCCGCAAGCGTCGCCCTCGCCGCCATCGCCGCCCTCACCGCCGAGGACGCCCACTGTGTCCTTCTCGTGGAGCACAAGGCGCTCTTTGCCGCCCTCGCCTGCATGGCCGAGGGCGGTGTCGTCGCACTCGACGCCGCTGGCGTCCTCCCGGCACTTGTCAACCGCAGCGACAACGGCGCCGTCGATCTCGCCCGCCTGGTCGACATGCACGTTGTCCGTGCCGCCGTCCGGGACGGCGCTTGCGGTCACGACGTCCTCGACGCCTTTACTGCCGACGCCCAGACCCCGCATCGTGTGTGGAACAGCGCCATGCGCGCCGAGGTCGCCGCCGTCTGCCGCCGCCTCCTGGCCTCGCCGCTTCCCGCCGCCGACGTCCTCGACGGTTGGGAGTCGGAAGTCCTTGCCGCCGAGCCGGTTGTTGCCGGCCTTTTTGTCGCCTACATTGTGGGCGCCGAAGACGAGGTGCTTGACTGCGATGACGCTGATCTGGCGACAGTTGTCACCGGCCTCTGCGCGGCCGACGCACTTACTGTGGTGACCTGCAAGGCGCTGCACGCCCTGCTCGGCGCCGGCGGTGAGAGGGTTGCAGCCGTAGTCGATCCGCTCGCGCTCGTTGACGCTGTATCCTCCGCCGATGACGAGCATCTTGCGAGTGAGGCTGCGCGCGTTGTCGCGCGGCTTGTCTCACTCGACGCCGGCCTCGCTGCTGTCCGCACCGGCTGCGGCGAGGTTGTTACCCGCGGCCTCCTCGCGCGGGTTCTCGACGAGACGCTGCGGATGGTGCCGACTGTTCTAGTCATTGCCTGGACCGCTATCGGCACCGAGCCTGGAATGCTTGCCGATCTGCTCGCATGTGGCTCTGTCCTCTTCCCGCTTGCGGTGGTGGTCGAGTGCGGCCGCCGCGAGACCGACAGGGTGGTCGCCGCGTCGATGCTGGCCAACCTGGTGAGGAGCCCAGATCATGGCGAAGCCGCTCGGGCCATCCTCGCTCAGTATCTCATCCCGCTCCATGTCCAGACACTTGTCACCACGCCGCACCGCCTGCCGGCCATGCTCGATGCCGAGCTTGTCCAGCCGAATGCGGTGTGGAGCCGTGGCATGGCCGCCGCCCTGGCTCGGGCGGTCCGGGTCGAGGCCGAGGAACTAGACGTCGGCTCCGGCCGCTGGCAGCCGGCCGGAGCGCAGCTGGCGAGTCACCCGGACGTTGCCGGCTATACCCTCGTCAGCGGCATCTACGTTGAGCTCTTTGTCGACGCGCCAATCTTTGCCATCGCTGACGTTAGCGGCTTTGTGAGCGGGTGCATGGCCGCCATGTCCGAGTCTCCAGACAAGGTGCGCGTCCTTCTAGCTGCGGTAGAGAAAGCGGTCCGCCAGAGCCGGCCGCGGGTCGAGGCCGAGTCGCTCGCTGCCTTTGTGGCGGCCTGTGTGCCCGGAGTGGACACGCCCGACGAGCTTGACGACGCCGCCTCGGGCAGCGCCCTGCGCATCCTGGCAGCACTGTTGGCGGCCGATCTCAACGGCGTCGTTACCTCGGGCCTCGACGTCAACCGGCTCGCTGCACTTGGCAAGCGCCATCCGGCGATGGAGATCGCGGCGCTGGAGCTTGTCCAGCAGTGCGTCCAGCTCAGCGACGTGTTTGTGGACCAGGCGCTCGACGGCGGGCTCATCGGCCTCCTGCTCAACATCCTCGCGTCACCGTCGTCGAGCAGCGAGCTCGACCTGGCGGCAGCAGCCGTCCTCCGTGCATGCGTTGCTGATCCGCGCCGCGGCAGCGAAGTCGCCGCCGAGCTCGAACAGTCGCGCAATGTTGGCATCTGGGCGCCGTACGCTGGTTCAGCCCCGGCAGACGCACCCTCGTCGGGTGGGGATGTGGGCGGGGTATCGGCCGTTCCGTCGCTTGCCGCGTCGTCATGGGCATCGTCGCTCGACGATGTTGGTGTTGATGGCTACGCCGACGCTAGCGACTACCGTGACTCGTCGATGTCGGAGATCGACGTCGACCGGCTCGTTGCCGCGCTTGCCGGCGTCGCAGTTGAGCCATCGGCCGGCATGGTCGAGGAGGCACTAGGCGTTCTCGACGAGTGGGACGACGACGACGATGACGACGAGAGCATTGTCGAAAGAAGGGAGGTCAGCACCCAGCTCGGACGCCCTGTCGAAAGCGACGATGAGTCTATAGAGAGCGAGAGTGAGGTCGCCACGCCAGCGCCTGCGGTCGCTGACGCAGCTCCCGAAGCTCCGGTCGTGGCTCCGGCGGACGACGGCAGCGATGATGGCAGTGAGGGCAGCAGCAACGATGTTGCAGATTTGCTTGAGGTCGTTAGCGACGGCAGCAGCGACGATGACCACGCACCACCGCAGGCAGCGTCCGGGGATCTGCTAGCCCAGATCCGGATGGGAACCCAGCTCCGCGCGGTTGATACCGAAGCGGTGCGGCAGGCCAGTGCCGCCGCACGCGCTGAGTCCTCGCTCTCGGGTGCCATCCTCGCCTCAATGGAAGGTCGGCGCAAGGTGATGACACTCACCTCGGAGGATCTTCGCGACGGATGGAGCGGAGACGAGGGCTCTGACGACTGGGCGTGAACACCCCCCTCCCTGGCCGGCCGATGATGTCGTACCGCACCCTTAAAACAGTCGAGTTGAGTGGCCAGCGTGTGATCTTGGGTAGGTGTGTGATCGGGGAAAGCAGGTGTTAGGCCACAAGTGGGCGATCTTTTGCAGCGAGCAGGTGATCGACAGATCATTAGCGGCTGACCAGGGAGCAGGCAGGTGTTCCGGACCATGCGACTGGCCGGACCGCGGGGGGCAACCAAGCGATCGAGCAACCATCAGATCAGACAACCGAACGACACACGTATGATCGAACAGCCATGAGGCAACCGGATGGCAAGCGGGTGATCAACCAGCACGGGTGAAACCGAGCGGAACGGGGTCTAACGCGACATGCGGGAGCAAGCGCGGCAAAAGTGCGCCTATCAGCGATGAGCGGTCTCTCGCCAGTCGACGGCCGACGAGCCGACGGTCGGCACACCTGACGCGACACGAGTCAGGCGTTTCGGGGAGCAAGGTCGAGGGAGGGGAGTCAGACAAGTCAAGTCAAGGAATCCATGTCGCACTCTACCCTCCGGGGCATCTCTGTGCGGTACTTGCCGCAATTGAGTGTGGATGGCCTACCTACGGCCCTGCCACTCCTTGTGGCTACGGGATATATGGTCCGAGTCGTGGTTCCTCTCCCGCAAGTCATTTCCATTTTGGCCATTTCTGGCGCATCCGTCTCCATCTGTGGTGCTTGTGGTCAACTGCCACAAGGACGTGTATCGACTATGATGACCTCTGTTCTTGCCTTTATGGTCTCATGGAAGACTCTTTCTCTTATGGCTGTTCCACGGGCGTTTCTTCCTTTCAGATCGGACGCATCGTTGATGAGAGCGGCTGGAAATTGGTTCTCATCCTACCTCTTTACCATGGTCCCCGTTGTCAAGGCCTCGGATGACGCTGTCATTGTTCTGGATGGCTCGGCTGATGACAACACAACTCGCATGACTCGCTGGCTTGTGGGCATCGGTGAGATCGCCACTCGCTGGATGGCAAAGGCTTCCGCAAACTACGTCATTCTCTCCGCCGCCGCATCGGCTGCGTCGGCAGGTGCTCCCACGCCGGTGCTCTACGGCCTGTGGACCGCATCAGTGGCGACCATGACCGCATCAGAGCTCAACGAACTGGTTGTTTGGACCGCCACTCTCGGTAGGTACAAGGTTGTCTCGTTCAACAACTGGTTCCTCGCCTCGACCTCGCTCTACGAGCTCTGGTCTGCCCGCTACAACCGCCTCGTCTCTCGGTTCTTCCGCGACACGCTCTACCGCCCGCTCCGTAGCGTCGTCTCGGCGCCGGTGGCGTCGATGGCTGTCTTTGCTGCGTCGGGCATCCTCCATGCCTTTGTCGCCCACGTCACCTTTGGCGGCGGAGAGCTCTCCTCGTTCGCCTTCTTCTTTGCTTCGGGTGGCCTCGTCTGCCTCGAGCGCTGGCTTGACAAGAACGTGCCGTCGTTTGCGGAGCGGCCCAAGTGGCTCGGCTGGCTCCTGACCATGACCACCATGGCCGGCCTGGCTCCGCTCTACCCTGGCCTCTTTGTCGCCCGCTGGCCCGGTTGGTTCGTCGACAACCCCATCACCGCCCCGTGGCCGGCGTCGGTCGTCGGCGACGCCATCTGCAAGCTCATCGGTCTGTAGCGTGCTCAAGAGAGGCTGTGGCCGTATTATCCTACGCGCTACGGTGCCCGAAGCAGCGGCCACCACGCGTCGGGAATCGGTGCGTCCCAGATGGCGAGCTGGCGGAGGTTGCGTGCGCGGAGGTAGTCGAGCCGCTGCTCGACGGCAGCGAGCGGAAACGGCTTGTTGGTGTTCGGGTCAACCGTCTCGAGGCCGATGACCAGCCGCTCGGGCATCACGCCTGCCGCCAGTGCCTCGTCAACAAACTTCTGAAACAGTGTCCAGTTCCCGGTGTAGGTGCCCATGAGGACGATGGCGTCAACCCGCGACTTGGCCAGGAGCGAGACGTTGAAGAACGGCGTCCATGTCCCGACGTCGACCGAGAGGAACTTGTCGTGGACATGAAGCGCGTCGGCAAGCGCGTTGAGGAAGACGTTAAAGCCCTCGGCATCGGCATGAGTCCCGTTAAGCGGCTCGATGTCGATGTTGTAGCCGTCAAAGCCACCGGCGGCAACGGCCGCCATGGCAGCGTCCACAAACGGCTTGGGATCGGCAGCCGCTTCGCGAGCCCACTCGATGACCTGCGGCCGGCCCCAAGGACAGCACGTGGAGACTTGAGCATATGCTTTGAGCCCTGCATGCATCAGCGCAGGAGCAACGTTGGTAAAGTTGTTGTCCACAAACGATCCGCCCGGCCCGAGGTTATACGCCTCGTACGCCACCGCCGTGATGGTATCTGCATGATCAATGAGCTGCTTGAGATCGGCCTCAATGTTCTCGCCAGTTCGCTCCAGTCCCATCCACGGTTGAATCGAGTTGAAGAACGGCGCTGCATGGCTCAGCCCCTCCTGCCCAAGCCCTTGCTGGCCCTGTCCGAATCCGACTTCATTTTCACCGCACACTCTGGACGCCACCACAGCCAACACAGCCAACACCAGCCACTCCTGCTTCATTCTCGTCTGGAACATAGAGTCGAGTCTGTCTGCCGGCTCTGTCCCGACCTCTGACGCTGCTCTGAGGCGCCTCTCTCGCCTCGACCGTGGCCACCAGCCACTTTGCAGCCATTATTTACGTTTGGAAAAAAGTCACGCGCTGATCGAGCCAAAGACATGGCATCGCTCCATGAGGCTACGGCTGTGACGGTGAGGCCACGGCCCAGGTAGTAGTAGGTTATGGCCCGCTCGTGAGTGAGCTGCAACGTTTGTACCCAGACAGACTCTTACAGTTTATCGTTCCTCAATCATCTCTCGTACAGTTTATCGTACCTCAATCATCTCTCGTACAGTTTATCGTTCCTCAATCATCTCTCGTACAGTTTATCGTTCCTCAATCATCTCTCGTACAGTTTATCGTTCCTCAATCATCTCTCGTACAGTTTATCGTGGCCCGCTCGTGAGTGAGATGCAACGTTTGTACCCAGACAGACTCTTACAGTTTATCGTACCTCAATCATCTCTCGTACAGTTTATCGTACCTCAATCATCTCTCGTACAGTTTATCGTTCCTCAATCATCTCTCGTACAGTTTATCGTACCTCAATCATCTCTCGTACAGTTTATCGTTCCTCAATCATCTCTCGTACAGTTTATCGTTCCTCAATCATCTCTCGTACAGTTTATCGTTCCTCAATCATCTCTCGTACAGTTTATCGTTCCTCAATCATCTCTCGTACAGTTTATCGTTCCTCAATAATCCCTCGTCCACCACCTGTCTCGTGGCGGCAGGAGGGCAAGATGAGCACAGGCGAGGACGTGGCGTGGGTGGCCGAGCTGTTTACAGAAGCCACAAGCTCGGCAGCACGCCTGACGACACTCCTTCGTGCCACCCACAACTCGCCACAACTCCCGGCAGCAGTCGAGCTCTTTGCCAGCACCCTCGCCTCGCGCTCAGCTGAAGACGCCGCAGCCGGCGCAGAGGGTGCGTCCGAGGTCCTGGCCGACATCGATGGCGCCAATCATGTCCTGCTCGGCCACATTGAGCGGCATGGCAGTGAACTCGACAGCGAATCAGCAGCCGCGCTAGCAGATCTGACTTCGGCGCTGACTCGGATGGCACGCGGGGCGCTCGAGCGGCTCGCACGGACCATCGCCGGCGATGTTGAGCCGGTTCTTGCTCAACTCCCACTGGTGGTGCCAGAGGTGGTGGTTGATCAGGGGCCTCTGCCGATGGTGTCTGCCGCCGCCGAAGCGTATGTAGCTACGATCGAGGACTACTTTGATGAGGTGCTGGAGGTGGTGCCGGACGTGTGGTGTGAGAGGCTTGTCAAGTCGCTGGCCAACGCGTGCGTGATGGCGGTGGAGGACGGCCTGTTCTCGCCGCGGGCAGTCGAGCATGTCGACGCCCTGGCATCTGCCCTCTCTCCGACCTGGATGTGGGTGGTGACGGCATGGCGCGATGTGTGGAGCCTTCGGGCGCTATACGCACAGTATTTGTCGCGCCGGCGCGCCGCGGCGCTGTTTGATCGGCTGCTGCTGGTTCTCGACTGTGTGTCGGTGGGTGCATTCCGAGCGAGCCGGTGCCTGCCTGTGGCGCTCGAGGCCGCTGAAGCGCCGCTGGTCGACGATTCGGCACTTGCGGCGGAGCTGAAGACCCGGCTGTATGCCGCAGTCGGGGCGTGGGGCGAAGAGTTCACCTTTGCACATGTGGTGCATGTGCTCAAGCTCATGTCGTGGCTCCCGGATCCGGTGCGGGTCCGCGCGCAAAAGGCAGCATTCAAGGCTGTGGTCAACGGTCCGCCGGAGACCTACACCCGCCCGCCGTCGCGACTCGCCGGCCTCGTCTCGCTCGGCCTCAGCCCGGCTCGCACTACTGCCAACAATGGTGCGACGAGTGAGGCAAGCGCCGCCGCAGGCGGACGCAGCGACGGCTTTGTACCGTTTGAGGTGGAGCTGGCGGCGCCGCTGCTTGATGGCAGCGACGGGAGGCCGGGCGTGTTGGGCTCCGAATCCGGCCCGGACCCAGACTCAGACTCGGCCTCGTCGCTCTTCACCACCGAGTCGTCGCAGCTATCGTCGCTTGGCTCGGGCGAGTGGTCGACATGAGCCAGACTACTGGTAGAGCGCGCCGCCAGAGCGGTTCTGATACGACGGCATCGAGAAGACGCCGGCCGAGCCGCGGGTAAAGAGGGTGCCCGAGCTTGCCGACGCATTGCGGGCGTCCGGGTAAGCGACGAGTGACTCGGACGCGCTGCCGGTCGGGCCGATCGGGCGCGGCATGCCGAGGGCGGCGGCCGGAACCGGCGACGCCGGGTGAGCCCGTGAATCATGCTCGTCGTCGTCCGAGCCGTACATGTGCGGTGGGGCCCAGTAGGTGGTAGCCGGCTCACCGGTCCGATTCAGCGACGCCATCGAGCCGTACAGCGGGCCCGAGTGCGTCGAGGCAAAGCCGCCGCCGCGGCCCTTGAGCACGGCGGTCGCCGACGCTGACGAGTGCGACGACGACGGGACGTGGCCCACCAGCGCAATGACCAGCGACGGCGGCACAATCTCCCACGAGAAAAACGAGAAGAACACAATGAGAGACTTGGAAGTCGGTGAATCGATGGCGATCGAGATGGTGACAGCGTCGCATGCTGCCGCAATGTCGTACGCACATCGCGAGAGGAAAAGCACAAGCAAAGCCGCGAGGAGCGCAAGCACCGACTGCTGCGAGTCACCAAAGGTCGAGAACGGGAGCCGGATCCCGGGGTTTGCCGTTACCAGGGTGTAGAGGTGAAAGTACGCCACCGCTAGCAAGATCTCCAGCAAGCAGAAGACCGAGGCGGTGAAGATCGAACGCAGCTGCGAGGCTGACGACGACGCCTCCTTGGCGTCCTGCACAAGCACCCAGTACACGTACAGGCAGTAGAGACAGAAGAGCACGCCGTTGACGCCGAGAAACGCTCCGTTAGCCCACCGGCCCAGATACGCGTCCCAGTCGGCCCGCCGGGTGTGGCGGAGCACCATCGACGAGGTAAAGAGCACAAGGAGCGAGAAGACCCCGAACTCGATGTTGACCGGGAGCTCGTAGACTGCAATCAGGAGGAAGCTGGGCGAGTACGAGAGCTGGACCGAGACAAAGAACACCACACGTACTGCCATCCATAGCAGGCACAGCACGAGAAAGCCGACCTGCGCCGAGAAGAACCGATGCCTGCGCCGTTGGGTATGGATGGAGCCGGCAAGAGAAGGGAGCCGTCGACAGCGAGGTATGAGCACGGTGAAAAGTCCACCACACAGGACAGAGCCCATAGTGTACGGAGATTGAGTCACGATGTCGCGTGCCGAGACGTGGAGGCCGACATCGGTGGAGCAAGTGAGCACAGCGAGAGACGGCAGGCAAGCCGTTGAGGATGATCGTCGAGAGCGTGGTACGAGGGATGTATGACCGGTATGACCGCAGGGAAAAGACCACCACATAGGTCATATCCCATACAATGTCGATAAGGAGTTGCGATGTAGCGTGGCGAGTGGTGAAGGCCGGCATTGTTGTAAACGTCGAGTAGTAGCGTGGACGAATCCGTGACCGATTTGAGCGCAGGCAGTTTCGTGCCAACCGAGGGGAAGAGGGGGGGGGAGGAGAGAGAGCCAGACAATACCACCGCCACCGCACGGAATACCATCAGCGCAACGACACAAATCCGTACACATGTAGCGAGTATGTACATATATCCCCATGTCGAGTTTGAATACTATAAACGTAAGTAACCATGTGTAGGTGTGTATGAAGGGAGCGGGGAAGGGGGGGGGGGGGAAGGGGGCTGGCCGTCCGGGATCATCCACGCACATGACAACAGTAGCAACAAGGGGGAGGGGGGGGG